ATATTTTAAGCTTATTTAATTGTAAAAATTTCAATATAAATAAAGTCTATGCGAGGCACAGAGTGTACAGTTTTGGAAAGCTGTGTATTCAGCGTTCTCATGAGAACATCAATTCTCAGTGAGAACACTTGGAAAACAAATTGAGAACATAAAAATATTGCAATTTGTATATTAGCGATAACAGAAAATTAGATATTAGAACAGCAAGTGTATATATTTGATGTTCTCGAGAAGAACCCCAAATTTGAATGAGATTTCCAACACTAAAAGCGTGTACTTATCTCATCAGCATTTACTTTTATATATGTCTATTTATAATTTTTCTTATTTAAATAATTTCTCCCCCGCTTCTTTAGTAGGAAGACAATGATTGTTTCCTTGATAAAAATTCGAGGCTGAAACATGCCGAAAATTTCTATTGATTATTCATATTTTGTATCAGATTAAATTAAAAAGTTTAAGCTTAAAAAGGATGTACAGCCCGACGAATTGCACATTCTTCCGACTTGAGATGGCTGTGAAGATATTGAAGATATTTTTTTAATACCGTAAACTGCCGTGAATCGGAAATAAGCACCACCCTAAACCATAAATACGTAGGCACCACCACTATATTTATTACAAAAATATATCAAAATATAATAAAAGTTTAATTTTGAATTACAAAAATGTCCAGAAATAAGCACTAGCCTATTTTTGGACCCTAAAATATGTTGATTGAGTGGGGCTTATTCACAGCAGTTTACGGTAGTTGATTATTTATTTTATTCTTTGTAAATAGATAGAATAGGAAATATGTATCGTTTGTCAATGGACCAAAAACCGTAAATGAACTTTGGACCATGTTCAATTGCAGCACAGCTTGCATGGACTTGGTCCATTAGAACAGCGTTGTCAATGGACCAGGTCCAGTGATTATACTATTCATTGTACTAAACAAATGGATCGATGACTATGCTTAATCGAACATTGGTCCAGCGTTCCTTGTCAACACTGTTTGGAACCGGCTAAACATTTAATAAATGGTTAAACCGCGGTTTAAATAGACTAAGTTTAGTAAATATTGCTTTTTTATCGATCCCTACATTTCTATAAAATTTCCTTTTTTGGTTTGGACAGCTACCTACGTATGTGTATACGTAGGTCATTACGTACACTGAAGTGATATGGTGCATAACATCTAAAGTATAAACTTTTCAACTAAGAAGTAAATACAAAATTTAATCTGTGAATATGGTAGAATATTCCCTTTCTGAGCATATTTACGAATTAAATTTTGTATTTACTTCTTAGTTGAGAAGTTTATACTTTAGATGTTATGCACCATACAAGCACTAAATTAACTAATTTACTACCGCTACATCTTTTGCTTGTAATGGCCTATATATAATCATATTTTCTTTCCATTTTTAAGCGTCGTCGTGAACGGCATCTGTTATAATATATAAATATTCGAGTGTTTCTGCATCAGTTGTTCTTTCAGAATGGTTACATCGTGAAACAAATGATAATACAGTGTTAAAAATAAATCATAGCGATTATACTAAATATTTGGACACTTTTAAATAAAAAAATCCATGCAGTAGTTCTTATTATATTTTTCGATCAATCCAAAAATTTTTGGGATTAATTTTAATATTTATTGTAATAAACCTTTGATTAAAAGTTATAAATATTATATAAAAATTCCTATGTACAATTTTGTAATTATTCTATATTAACACCGTAAATTTAAACCTTAATTTAGTCATAAAATCAATTATGCTTTTGCAAAATAAATAAATCAAGATTCACCGTATAATTTCTTCATTTTTTTGTACTAAATTAATAGCCTTGAGGCTAAGTTAAGGTTTAAATTTTCTTCCAAGGGGAGTACTTTATGCAGCGCTGATGTTTTACTATTAAAAAAAAAGCATATTCGATTGGATCAAAAAAATTTATAATTTATAAAAACTAACATTGCTCAAGAACTACTGCATGGAATTTTGTGTTTTTTGTGTATTTTAAAATTCGTAATAAAATGCTTAATTACTATAGTTAATTTTGAAATTTAATTGTCAAAACAATACCAGTAATTATATTTTAAAAAATCCAGAAAACATAGAGTGATGTATGCGAATAACTATTCTAATTCAAGTTAGAAAAACTCTATTTCTTGTATTTAATGAATGTCTCATATTCAAAAGTTATCAAAAAGATAGAGATGCGAAAGTAAGTTAAACCGTAAAGCAAGCAAATTTACCTGCGAATTTAAGCTTATATACTAAATTATTGAAAACAAAAATTATTAAATGAAATGTATTATTTGTCTATGAATGCCTATAGTTTAAGAGATAAACTGACATTAAATATAGTAAACATGACAACTATGACAAAGATGGATCTGGTCGGAGCAAATTTAGAATAACTCGGAAATTTTCTGGCCAAGCTATTTATCGATAATTTTACCACGTGTATATTTTACTTGATCAGATGGAAATAATAGATCATCCTTAACCGAGTAATCAATCACACATTCTGCGGAAGCTATAAAAAGTACGTACGTAGTCAGTTGGCTTGTACAATTGATTGGTAGTACATAATAGAGAATCACAGTATTATTATTTGCACACATAAAAAATGTCCACCGCTTCTGTAGCAGTAGTTCACTCTTCATTCACACCAAAATGTTCTTTTGAATATACGATCACTGATTGGAAAAAATATTCGACGCCTTGCTACAGTCCTCCTTTTGGCACTTTTTATGACTTGTTTTGGCAACTGAAATTTGTCTCGGTAAGAGATTAGCAATATGAAATTCATTAATTGTACTTTTTTCTTTTTTTGTATTTGAAATATAAAATATTATTGGACGGTTCAATATTAATTTAAATATACAACAATGAATTAGACTGCACATGATTATCCCAGGCAGTGTTCAGTTTATTTATGGGCGGTGGCAAATTCTGAAGAAGAAGGTCTCGAGATTACTTGGTCAAGACGTGCAACGGTAAAAGCTAGATTATATCTCAAGAATCCAATAACAAATCTTGAAATACGTGGACGAACACTTTCGAGAATGGACGAATTCTCAGCTAAATGGCCTGGTCGTGGTAATTATTAAACAGGATTTATATGAAATATTCAAAATTGAATTCAATATATTTTTTATATTGAAATAGGATTTAATGCTTTCTGCTCAAAAACTGAGCTTCCTGATGGTGATGTAATAATTGGAGTGCAATTCTCAGAGAATGAAATGAAATCTCAAGCCATGCAAATACCACTTCCTATCAATCCACTACCCAAAAATTTGATCGATGCCTGGGCATCACAATTGGAAAAACCGGAAATGTCAAATATTCGCTTTGATGTCAAAGGCACAATGTTATATGCAAACAGTGACATACTCTCGCAAAGATCAGAATACTTTCAAATGTTAATACAAGAGCAATGGGCGGAATGTAAAGCCAGCTATTCACGACCTCTTTCCTCGCCAACATTTATGCCGTTACGACCTTTATCACAAAATTTTTCCTGTACTACCCAAAAATCCGAGATTCAGCAGCATCTTTTCCAGTATAATGTTCGAATTCCGGATTTCGAGCCAGAGACATTTGCCGAAATGCTTCGTTACTTGTATACGAACGAAGTGAAATTCAGCATCACTGGGTCAAAAACAGATCCACTCTCAATGTTTTGCATTGCAGACAAATATCTGATAACGGAGTTGCGACAACGTGCCAAAGTTGCTGCTATAAAAGAAATTAATATTGAGAATGTTGCTGAGGGATTATTCAATATCGCTTGGAAATATCCAGAATTAAAAGATTGCTTTATGAGAATGATTTTAGAAAATTTTCCGGCTGTTCGAAAAACTGCAGGGTTTATTAAAATAATGGCTAGTCCTTCGATTTATGAGAATTTCACCGAACTAATTCTTGAAATTCTTGAATCACTTTCTCCTTCAGCCGTAGATTTGGAAAAAAGTGATAATTAATAATATTTCCTATCATCTTTTGTCGATTAATACTGAATTATAATAATAATTGCTACAATAACTAACAAAGTTAATATATGTGGCTATAAAATTATTTACACAGCCTATAATGTTATAAATTTCGTATAATAAAAATATACTTAAATATTTGCATGTTCGGAAATGCAGGCGCAATTAATTTCTCTAAGAGAAGCTCTGCAAATCAGCTTTGCAAAAAAAACCGGATTATATTGATTATAGAGGCAACATTCATGAATACACGTTTGCCAAAATCATCACTTTTCAAACAATCAAAAGAAAGATTGTATACGTTTGCAATAAACCCTTCGTTGGCTGTTGAGCAAAAAAGAACAAAATGTTAAAATTCAAGCAACAGAATCCGCTGTCACCGTCATACGCCAAAAGCAACTGCAGAAATAATCGTCGCTTACAAAATTCACAAAATCAACATCGATGTCGATTTCTGCTGTCAAAGTACGTAATTTTTTAGCTCCAATTGAAGAAATTCTAAATACATAAGCAAAAATTCTTATGTTGCGTGTCAAACGGGCGTTTGGACAATGGATATGACGACCCACTATCGAAATTCCAAATTTATTGGCATAGAAGCTGAAAAGTTGTTTCTTGGAGAAAAATCACTCTAATTATCATGATTTAATTAGGGACTTCCGTTTCCAAATAACTACATTCATTTCGTCCAGGTCCGGTTTGCACAAAATAACTATGTATACTGCACTATAATAGGAAACAAAAACTATTTCAAATGTAGTAATAAGTCGGACCAAATTCGAACAAAGGCAATATAATTCAGACGTTATCTCTAAACTTCGTCAGAATTGCCGCCGAATTCAGCAAAACTCGGACGAATTCGACAAAGCTTAGACGAATTATTAGCTGAATTGCTATTGCATTTTGACATTTGAAAATGGATAACACACTTAGTAATTGTATTTCAGAATTTTTAATCGATCGAAATATATGCAACTTTATGTACCAAATAATTATGCCACTTTTACAATCATGACATACTAAATCATATGATTTGCCCATGAGAGATTTACAGCAAGTATGTACATGTATCGGTATTTCAAAAAGCATGATTATGTAGACACTATCGCTATATAAAATTATCTATACAAATATAATACCATCTGTAGAATATATATTAATCCAAATACGTATAATACACAATACCATGGGTACTATTCAATTAATTTTTGAATAAGACCCTGGATATTATATACAGTATTCACGTATTCATAAATTAGGTCAAATAAATTTTATCCGCAAAATATTATAGTCAAAACTCGATATGAAACTCGTTATAATGATGACTAATTACAACTTCTAATTAGATTTTCTCGATATCAATATACTAAATGTTCAGTATAATGAAATTTGCGCTAATTGTCTCAATATCGATATATATATATATGTATATACATATATGTATATATATATTGAGTTTTGACTATATATGTAACTAAACTCGAGTCGATCAGCTACCAAAAAATATATCAATGTTTTCGCATTAATATTGATTATCGTGTAGTCTTCTCTTCATAGAAAATTGGCGTTGGTGAGTGAACTCTATCGCTATTATTTTCCCCATTAACCTTATTACATGTACAATAAAAAACATATACGTAATAGATGTATAAGGAAAAATCAAAAAACTTGCTCGATCTTCCAAATAAATGTGAGGGTTTGACGTAGTATTAAGAAAACTTGTAAATGTGAAGATTTTGCAATTATTAGTCGTAGCTGCATAGAAAAGTTATACATGATATATTATCAGAATAATTGCTGACGTATGTATTCCCGTTGGCATTATTATACAATATTTGACTAAAGAATGTTTGTGTCTATTTCTAAAACAAAAGTTTTAATTGGTCACAGTCTAATGCTAAACGCATGTATATGTACCGGGTTGAAAAATTATGTATGACAATGAACAAATTACGTAATACCACATGTAGTTGTCGAAGCCCAGCGCTAAGAATTAACGTTTGCCGAAATTAGTTAGTTCAAAAATGGTAAATAATCCGTAATTGTTATAGTGCAGGATAATAGTGAAATTGTATTACAAATACATGTAGATTTTCAACTTTTGCTTGGTCTGATGAAAAATCTGTACGTATTTCCACTAGTCCATACTTATGCATATCGATATCGCTTATCGTTATTATTGTTATGACCATCTTTCAAGAGATGCTCCTGGATCTTCAGGAGATCCGTATCAAATACCGATACTATATAAAATTTGTAAGTAGTTAGATCAATCACGCGATATCAGTAAAATTCACAGTGTAAGCTGTGATTTTCATCTGATATTCTGGCATCTATACTCATGGAACATAACGTACCGTGATAAATAAAGTAATTAATTACCCAATTCAGACATAAACAAAATACACCAGCACTTTGTTTCTTATTGCAAGGAATAAAAAGAATAAATAAAGCTAATGATGATAACGATAATGATGCTTTCAGATATTTCCAAAGCTGCACAATATTATCGTGTTCTTAACGTAAGTTCCAAATACGACACATAAAAATGGTTCTTTTAATTAAATCATATATGGATAAAATCAGATCAAAAAAAGGCTAGAAACATTTCTTGAAATAAGAAGATTGCGACTGATTCACAGAAAAAAAATGTTTAAGAAAAATCACGCGACGATTTTTTTTTATTATAAAAAAGGTGGTGGCCATGAAGAACACACAGAAAAACAACTAAAAACTATAAAATTAAAATTACTAAAATAATAACTCTCTAATACGAATTATCTTCAGAAACACTATGAACCGATTTATTTTTGTATTTGCTGTTATTTTATTTTCTGCCATGGTAGCCATAGTACCTAATGGTGAAGCGTACCCTACTACGAAAAGGTGCGGCGGCTGTGGCAATTGGGATCATCCCGATTCCGTTTCCGTACCCCCTACAACCGACGCGTAACCCACTATTTAAGTGTGGGTCAAATACTGTCAAAATATCATCTATTGTATCAGTGTTAACTTTTTTTTTCATTTTGTCAAATAATTTTTTTTAATTCTATTTTTGCATTGTAATTCAAGAACTAGCAACAAATCATTTTTTTTTTGAATCTTCATAGTCGCTAATTTTTTGCGAATTTACGATTTATTTTTAGACCATGTATCATTTATTTACTGTAATAACGGTAAAGTTGCAAAAGTTGGAACATTTGTAAAATTCAATGACAATAACAGAGAGTAATAAATAATTTAAAATTAATTTTAATGCATTCAGTATGGTACTTCTTGGCTTTATGAACCCATCTTTTTATGTGCTGTTTACTATATTGCATGCATACTATTTTTTTTCATTTTCTGAACCGGTTTTCGTAACATGAATCCGGGAACTAACTGGGAGCCAGGTGTACCGTAACACAATGATGATCATAATGTCAGGCAAAGTCCATGCACAGCCAAACCGTATATAAAAACTGTATATAGCATATAAATTCCTGGTCTGTTTGTAAAGGATTGGAGAAAGGTATCGAAATCACTAGCTCTAAAACAACCTCAGATTCACCTTATTACTTATTTTTTCAGCAGTATGGAATCATCATCGTAATAGTATTACTAGTCATATTCATCATATGGCGCATATTCTCTCATCGATATTCTTCCAACCCACCTTACAATGAAGAAAAAAATATTCCGAACTATAAAATACCCTTAAATAGAAATCAGAGTTATGGATTCCCAATCCGATATGCAGAAGAACCAAAAAACAGGACTACCCCCTATGAAACTTTACCTTATGGATATGGATGAGGCCACAAAGTACGAACCATCCCGAATTCAACTATTTTGCCAATCCTTTAAAGGTTTGTCCCATCTAAATCTAATTGATAAGGGGTCATCAGATGGTCTTCGGATATCAATAACCACGAAATGTTTTTTTATCACATCATAAACTTTTTTTGCTAGAGGCTCATAATCATCATACATATCTTTAAGAATTCGTTTTATGCTATCTAGTGTTCCACATCCACGATGCAATGAAATATATGTAAAATTTCCACGTATATTCTGATGGATTTCATAAAAACGCTGGGCGATATAAATTGAGCTAATTCCTTCATGCCTGCCTGACCTAAAGAAAGGAACGATTTTTAGTTGAGTTGCCAGAGGTTCACCGGCAAGATCATCAAAGACTATAAGAGTAGATCGGCCAGTTCTTTTGAAAGACGAAATATCAGGTAGTTCTTCAGGCGTTATCAGTTTGAATCTCACATTTTCATACCATGGAGCTTGCTTATCCTTGGCTATAAATTCATAAAAACATTGTACTGCTTCCCATAACTCTTCATCTTGGTGTTGCGCAACAACAATTAGATCATCACACGGAATGTACCTTTCACCAAAATTTTTGCTCCCGCCTTTTGGTATTTTATGACCACGTTTTTCACCAGACATCCACGGATATATTTGCTTCCTAGAATCAGAAATACTACCATTCTCGTCTTTCCAGACTCAGAGGTGCCCGCAACTCCTAGTCTAAATGGTTGTTTAGGAGCGAATGGATTCTGTTTTTTCGAAAGTATAGTTTCATCTAATTTGCATAGTTCATAATATTCCATAGTATTTTGAAAAGTAGGATTAATTATCAAGAAATATATTTTCTTGACCGCAATGGTGAATTTATTGTATTTGATCTCACTAGGCCGGAAGATGATCCATTGGCAATTCGTTTAAGGTTTGATACTCCACTTGATTTGCAGAAAGAGATAGAATTACGACAAAAGAAATAAATAAATACGTGATTTTAGGTGAACTTTTTCGTGGTTTGTTCGCTGATATATTTATACATGAAAATCCCTTTATTTAACCAGTGATTATCTGATATATTTACATGATATATACAAGGTATAGTGATACGGGAAATAAATCGTAAGTAAAAATCACGTTATTTCTTATACCGTGCTGGTAAGCCTTTTCTTGCGCGTTCCAAATCTATGAATGGGAAATATAAATATCAGTTCTTGACTATACGTAGATATAAAATAAACTTTATCTTGCCTGCACATACCTATATTCGTTCGCCTATGATTCTTTAATTTCGATACGTTATTTCTAGAACCCAACGTCGGTGGGAGATATTTTGGTGATGGCTCGTCCTCATTGCTATTACTATCCCAATCCAACTCATAATCGGCAAAAAGAGAGCCAAATTTCCGTTTTTGCTTAATCACCGTGTTATGGATATAAAAAACGACGCTGTGACGAACCCCAACAATAACCGGGAGATTCCCATGGATCAAAATATTCGATCTAAATGCCACCGCTTGCCCTTGCTTAACGTGGACAACCAACTTTAACTCGGGAAATGTTAATTCTCCTCCTTCGAATATCCCAAGAGGACACACCACACAAAGCGTATTTCGATGATCCTTCAAATCGCGATGGAATTGACAGATCATATTATAATTGATGCCAACGGTGGGGAAAGCTCCGAATAATTTTGGAATATTTGGTCCGAGATCAAGGTTTTTCATCTTAAGATATAAAGCTGGGTAAGTGGTTTCTAGACACTTATTAACTGCATTAGAAAGCGGTTGGAGGCCTTTTATTAAATCTCGGACACATTTTTGGTGCTCTTCACGGTGGGAGGATGCGGTATTTGCTGTGGTATACGGTAGGTTGTTGCTATCTGCAAATCCACCAAAATGTTCGATCAAGTCCTTTGCAAATTGTTTTGATTGATGTGAAGGATGACTGAGCGTATGTTGATAGTATTGATCCACCGCTATCCTAGTATCTTCAACAGCCACTTGATTATTAAGATCGAAAAAATCAACTATAGTTTCTTTGAAGGAATTCCTAAAACATTGTGAATCGGAAATATGATAGTACCCTCCAAGATTGATCCCGCTTATAACCTTTTTCGTCGTTTCATAGGCGATATAGAGTTTATCTTTAGGATTTCGGAGAAATATTTCATTGATTTTATGACCTTCAAGTGGCTTTTTCTGGGCTCCAACATATTGATATACATTTAGGGTTCGTGTCCAAAGGAGACGGCAATGACGGCGAAATTGTAGAATAAAATCCGGTCCGATTTTAAAACATGCCCAACGTGCGAACTCCTTCCATGCTAATTTTGATACTAAAGAGTTGCTGTTGCTAAAAACTTCCAACTCTAACAAATCCATAAATTTTGCAGGAAATTCGAAGGAAGTTGGAATTGGCTGGATACTTTGCGGTGCTAAAGATTTCTTTCCGGCGTTATCAGATTTCTCATATATTTCTTTTTGAATAAAATCAGAAATTATGTCGAGATCGTGGATAGAAAGTATACTAAAATCTAACGTATATGTGCCCGGTTTTATACTATTTGGTGGAAGCATCGATTTGTTAAGTAACTCCCGAACAACAAGTCTTTGCCGTCTCTTTTCGAGGAATTTTTCCTGAAAGGTAAACCGAGGATCTGTATAGACAGCTGATTGCTCGTTATTACTTGATCTAAGGTCGCTAGCATTGAAATCCTCTGAAATCCACTGAGATAAAATATATTGCTGAATCTCTTCTTTAGTCAACTTGCGGGTCCCAGGTTGAGTTTTATGCTAAGTAAAAATAAGTATATCAATGGAGCTGGCTCGACCAAACACGTCAAATATTGAGAATATATTTTTATAGAAATCTAGCTTTGCTAATAAAGCTTTATAGAACAAAAGAAATTACGAGGTGGATTCATGCAAATTATTTCGTGCCTCATAGCTCAGTGATCTAAACCACGGGAACACTGCGTCATATTCCTCTCCTCGCTAATGGCGACACGAATAATTTGACGATCATACCCTCATAACGAAATTATTCTTTAAATTACTTTATCTGAATCGTAGAATATTTCCACACTCTTGTCTTGGTCGTAGTTTGTATCAAAAGTTAAAGCAGTCTCTTCATTTATTGACAAGTCAGCATTTTTCCCGAGCTTCGCTTTTTTAGCATATCGTAACAGCTTCCTATGCATATTTCGCTTAGAGGCCTTCGTAGTAGCTGGTTAAAGATTTCACAATTGAGAAGAAGTAGACAACTTATTTTTACCGCGAATGTTGACACCTTACCATTAGATGTGTTCATTCTTGGCTTGGCTTGCAAATGACGAACAATATATTTATTATTAATTAGACAGAAATCAAAAGCGAACTATCCAACGAGCCGTTAGGAATAATTCCTAGAGCCGAGTCTTACTCATCACGTAAGTGACCTTGTTATTACAAGAGAAGGATAGTATACTTTCGCAGAAAAAAGAAGCGTGGGAGTGGATAATGAATGAACGACGATCAGGCAATTGTTGATTGGTAGGGGGTATATACGTCGATCAACCAATAAGCGTCGTCTATTTCAGGCAATGATTAATTTCCTGCCTGGAAAATAACGTTTTTAACCTCCAGGGTCATCTTCGATTTTCTTTGAATATAACATGATCGAACATATGTGGTACGTAATTTTTTATAGCGAGAAATATTTATTTGCTTTATTGGTAGTAAACGAACTATAATAAAATTAATTTTCTATGGTTTAAATATTGTAGATAGAAGCGTGGGGTAGAGACGTTTAAAGGGAGGAATAAAGCATAAATGCCCGCTGGACCCTAAGCCTTTTACATAGTAAAAATAGCGGTTCCTTTCCCTACCCCGCACTAGCTATCGTTATTGAATTCATTACTACTTCCTATATTACTAAAGTAAGTATCCTTCTTTTTTCCTTCTTTCTCGACCCAAGTTCCAATTTTATCCAGCGAAGTTCTTTGAGGAGATCTCTGATGTCGATAGAAGCTAGCAAGTGTGGCTGGACTAAGTCCTATCTCGTCAGCTAAGGCATTATACATTTTCGTGGGAGAACGCCCTTCCCTCTTTCTTCTCTCGTCAAATAAGGCAGTAAATTCTACCCAGAGAGTCTCAGTTTCGTCGGGGTATTCCGATCTGTGGCTTGTGGATTCTTGTCCTAGCGAAACTAGTGTATTAGTGCTAAAAACTGCAAATCAGCGAAGCCTTGATATGATCAAGATAACTAAATACCTTGAGATCGAATCTCGCTTTTCCATTCTGTTTCGGTTCGCATTCTATTAATGTCATTAGTAAGCGCTAAAATTGATTTTTCGATATTTTTTATAGATGGATCACTAGGGATTTGAGGTGACATTATTTTTTCGCGTATATATATATATGCTATAAATAATATGATGAAAATTATATATATTATCCCATTTCCAGAGGTAATCGTGTGGAATGTCTCCGTAGTTAAGATGCCCCGATTTAATAATTCATAGATCACAATTATAATGATGAAAATAACGAACAAAAAAATATCAGATGTATTAAGTGACATTTTGCAGTGAATAAATCGATTATTCAGTTAATGGTTTTAAAACTTTGTTAAGGATGAACCTGTGAATTTAACCCTAGTCAATGCACGTTTTTATATCGGTAGCGTGTAAAACTAAGTGTCTTAGACGCTAGCTCTGCTATATCTCGCAGTGGGCAATCAATATATCTTAATTCCACAAAACAAAGATGAATTTAGCTTAGTTTCTTGCGCATCTCATGAGTATGCCTTCTCTTAACCGAATTGTATCTGGTTTATTCTTTCTGACCATAGCATTGGTTCTTTACTGGCGACTATATTTCGCACTAATTAATTAACAACGATCATATTATACGATTTACCGATCTACCAATTATTCTTGTATTTTCATTAATCAAGATAATAAAACCAGCTATTAATAGTGAAGCTAGTGACAAGACACTCTAACTCTGCTTCATCATAAATCAGCCAATCATGTTGACGTTGGCAAAAAGTCTTTTATTGGTACAAATAAAAATATCACGGCCATATTACCGTGTACATGTGGAGGGAAATCTACCCACTATTTTTTGATAATTTTTTTAATCCTAGCCCTCTTGCTGGCTGGGGAATTATCGACTGTTACCCGATCTTTTAATAGGCCAACGATAACACCTAACACCCGTTTTACCCCTTTTTTGATTGATTCAATATCTTCTTTCAATGCCGTTTTCGAAAGATTTATCTGATATTCGCTCTCACTGGTGCAATACAGCCCATCCGTAGTAAAAACGAGAAAATGCCAATCCATACCCGTGGATACGATCCCATAAAGATAATCGTACTCATCATTCCCAAAAGCTTGATCCGCTGTACGTTTCTTCTTATTTGTATGGTATGCACTCTCAAGTTGCATAATATTCTGGAGATAACCAATCTTAATATTACGTGGTTTACCTTCGGCGATGCACATGAGATCCTCCTTTCCCTTGATCGCATAATCAACACGTCCAGACGCTTCTTCGCCGGAGACATCCTTTTGCAGAAATATATGAAGTTTTTCTTCTTTGGTGATTCTTCGAACGATGGCGAGTGATGCATGTAAGATGGAAGAAATAAATTCACAGCGGGTCGCCTCGTTGTATCGGTCATCGTCTCGATATTTGTTAGAATTAGTATTATATCTGCTACACAGTGTTTGAACGCTTCGTCACTATCATCGATTTCCTCAAAAACTATAACGAAAAAATGTTAGCCTATATTTGGTTACCTTTGCCAAGAAATTTCAGCGAACTATTTTGATGAAAAGTTCGCCCAAATAATGCCAAGAAAAAACTAAAATTAAGTATCACATACCCGGATTGAATTGTTTTATGCTTGTTATATCCTCTCCATTGACCTTATATTTTCGGAGCACGTCCTTTAGTTCTTCTAGAGTTTTGTATGACGAGAAGCTTCTTAATTTTTGATCTGATATCTCTTCAATAAACTTCATGAGTGTAGTTACGATGCCTCCCTTTAGACCATAACTACGGAACTCCTTTTTCGTTGTTTCAAGAAAGGCATATCCCGATATCTCTTCTCTACGCAGAATGTCGAAATGGGTTTCCTTAAGTTTTAGATCTCGCCTCCGTAAATAATCAATAAGCTCTTCTGTATCTAGGTTTTCGACCACGTCTGCCATCGTTCTAGTTGATCTTTCTTCCGTCAAAGTAGAGGTTGTAGAAGCTGGTGAGGAGGGTGAAGAAGTATGTGAAGACATGATGGTATTTTTATATAGATGCTAGATATGATCAAAAAATCTTGTTTATGTATCTCGCTAATAAAAGTTAGATAATGCGATGCAAGTGAAAAAAAATTATCGTATCTGTTTTTGGATAATTGGTGGTTTTATACTTATGTGAGAAGTTACACAAACTGATCAAGAGATAGACGTATGACGCGCTGTTACTTTATTTTTACGAAAAACTTGCCCGTAGTAAGGCAGATACAAAAAATAAATTTGCGAAATACATATCGCTGTTACATAATATAAAAAAATCTGTTAACTATATACATATGGCTGAGAGCATATATACGAAAAGGTTGGGTAAAAAACCTAATTAAGGTCTACGATATACGAGGATATGGATATTTTCTCCTGGATTATTAAAATTACTGCTAATATATTGAGAAATTCGATTTGTTGGTTCCATATATATTCTTTGATTTCGAGAGACATCATTCATATAGAGATCAAAAGCGTTATATTCAACATGCTGTTTAATTTTTCTTTGAGGCTTTCTACGGTTTCATCAATAGAACGAATCATAACAATGTGGTCAGTATGAACACGGTAGCTAATAGTAACCATTTTTCGTTTCCTATTACGTTAGTGATTTACTATGTAAGTAGAATTTCATATATGAATCAGTTATCATAAAAAATAAGGAATGATTAAAACTTAAACTCATAATACATACCTCAGGTAATTGATTAGTACCATGATACTTTTCAAAAAAAAATATTGACTTTCAGAGTTGAATAATAAGTATGTATCGGTATAATAAAAAGAATTTTCTTTATTTTTCAAAGTGATAATGGAAATGATAGTGGATTTCTTTATCACGAATTGCATTATTACATGTATTAATGATATCTTGAGCATTTGGAGGTGAGAAGCGATTGGAAATCTCAGTTAAAGGTGTTCTTGATTGTGCAAAATGTTGTCTTGATCGTGAGGGTCGAGGAATACGTGATGGTGCAGAATGTTGTCTTGATCGTGAGGGTCGAGGAATACGTGATGGTTTGGAAATGTGAGAATGATCTTGAATAAATAAATAATTACAATTAGCATTAGATAAACAGAAAATTAATTAAATTAGATAACCTACGTGTAGTTTTATGGCGTGCCGAAATAAAGAAACATCTATAAGAATATAATTAATTAATTAAATTTAATAATTAATAACAAATAGAAATACCTTTATCATCATAATCCTCCTCCTTAAGATCTTCGAGTCGTTGAATCGGTTCATTACAAATTTTACGCCCATTATCAAAATAGACACTCGTGAGTTCTGCTATTTTTGTCATCATCGTATATAGTTTGTTTTTTCCCATTGCACTTTTTTTAAACCAAATATTATCTTGTAAATCTATTATTAAAAAATACTTGTTAATTAAAATTAATTTAATAAAATTTTAATTTAATTAATAAAATAAATACCCTTTTTCGCTCGTGTTGTTTCCAAGAAAAAAGATTCACAAGCTTCGTTTGGTCGCAAAGCGATCATGAATATAATGTCATGAACAGGCTTAAAATAATTATTTGGTGAGTCGGGCGGAATGAGAAATTTTCGTGCTTCACGTTGATTTGTAAATCCAAGACAAAGTCCACCATCTTTACTCCTTGATATGTCGCCAATATTAATTCTTCCGGCGTCGCCACCTTCAAGACCACAAAAAAGAGATAGCCAAAAGAATACTCGACGAGCCAGCCCTTCATTAGTTATTACCTGCATTGATTCGTGACGAAGAATATGAAATATTTCTTCAGTAGTTAATGGCGAAGCTTGATGTATTTCACCAGAACTTGTACTTTGCAGCTTGTTCATCTTGCCATCGACTTCTGTAGGTATATAGTTAGTACTATTCATGATAACGATAAAAAAAGAGAATATTTAGTGTCATATATTTAGGGCGCGATATCTCTATCAAAGTGATATTAGGTAATATATATCAGTTCCCAAATGCTTAATATGACGAATACATGGGTTCCATCGGGTACACGTCATCCTATGGGATAAGCTAGTTAAATTACGTGATTTTAAAATATTTTTCTTATAAACATAGAAAGCTTTGATGCAACTCTGATTCTCGTATCGTATATGGCGATAGTTTGTTATAAGATATTCTTATTTTTATTTTAATCCGGTTCGATATTATTATTGTGAAAGAATAATACAGTATTATCTCGACGCGTAAATCTTTCAAATAATACGCACATACAATCAAATGTTATAATATTACGTAATTATTATTTATTTGATATTAACTTACAGTATATTGTAAGTGACTTTCTTTATTTAAGGTAAATAAACAGCACTACAATCGAGATTAAATTATCCTTTTGAGTTCCTACAGAAAAACAATAGTCGAGATGACAAGTAAATTTTTTAATACTTTTGCTGGTATGAAGATAATAGATGATAATTTATTTTCCTCACAATTGATAATAATGTTTTTATTCTCTTACTATCATTGGAAAGGTAATGATAAATTTTATTTTCATGCCAGACCACAAGAACTTTTGAAGATAGATGAAAATTTTTCAGTGATTGGGATTTGCCACAAGCGAAGCCAAGGTAATTGATAGACTATGTATGTCATTTTTTCCAGTCATCAATATTATATTAATGGAACAAAAATAGTTTGGGGCAAGGGAAAAAACTATGACTACGCAAAAGATTTGGAAAATGAATTAGTGAATAGATTGAAAAAAAAGGAATTTAAGGAATCATTAGAAAATAACAATTTGGACAACAAACTTGTTAAACACTTGCTTCGTGGAGTTTTTGAAGAGGTAGAAAAAAACGCAGTATTTGAAGAAGAAGAAACTAATTACCACAAAGAAATCATAACGGGGGTTAACTGCTACCATTCTAATACTTACTTCCAACACAATATATGTGGTAAGTGAATTTGAAATTGTTTTTTTTTTGAATTATTAATAAAGATATTTTTTGCGAAAAGGCTGGAAAAGGCGAATATAAAATCGCGTTTTACATCCTTGGCAGAGATGGAGAAACCAAAAACTTCACTGATTGTGATCAAAATATTTATTTTAAGAGTTTTTCAAGCGAGGAAATTATACTTATTTTATCATCCAACATATCTCTAGGTAATTATTTTTAGCTTATTAAGGATATTTCTGTCGTTATTAGTAACTAATCTTTTTTTATAAATCTTCT